CTCGGGAGGAACTGGCATGGTGCTGGCTTGTGTCTGCTGCCTCTGTAGCAAAGCTCCTGCATGGCTGAGTTTGACCTATGAGTTAATGCTCAGAATTTTTTTTATTCTTTGTATTTTTTCTGCTTTTATTTTCCAACAGAGCCCATCAGATAGTCACACCAAAAATAAGCACTAGTATTTCACTGGCCTGTCTCGCTGCTGGTGCTGTGCACTGATTTCATGTCCCTTGTCTTTTATGCTGAGCTCTTCTAACACATCTGTCATCACAGTATCTGGGTAACAGCAGAGGATCATAGGGCAGGGGTATGATTTGAGTTGTTTGCATTGTTTACCTGCTTGTTTGTATTGTTTACATTCATCACTAATTATACTAGAGCTTTGAGCCAGGCTGGGAAGGGGAGATCTGACACTGCTGATGGGGCTCCATCCTGTCCTGCTGCCAGGGTGGAACTCAAAGTGCTACCACGGTGTAGGTGTGTTTGGAGGTGAAGGCTGCAGGGCACCATTTTCAGCAGTCCCACAATTTCATCCTTCCCACCCCATGAAGACAGCCAGGTGGGGCCACCTCTCTGCTTCTTTGGTCAGGGACAGGCAGAGGTGATGAGCTGCATACCTGGGGATCACAAAGGAACTGGTGGTTTTGTCATTATAACAAGAAAAAGGTGCAGGCAGTAAAGGATTACTGGGGTCCTGTCCCCCAGTAATTGCACTCAGTGGAGTTTGGTGGCTCTGTCCCACCACCTTAGTGAATCAGGCAGGGCTGGAGAGGCAGGGAAGTGGAGCTCTCTCCCATTTTCATCCTAAGCAGAGGTTTATTTTTCAGATCCACTGCTTTTTTACGTTGTATTTGTACAGGCTCCCAAGCACGTGTGAGCGCATGGCTGCCCGGCTGGCAGCTCTGCATCCTGCCTGTCCCCCCTCGCCCAGGCTGCTGTGACATCCCGGGGGCAGCGGTGGCCCCGGGCCATGCAGCCTGCTCAGCGAGCAGTGCCGAGGGGCTTTGCACAGCCCCGTTCTCTCCTGAACCGGGCGCACTGGGGCGTGCTGGTGCTCAGCCCCCATGTGCCCCCACGCGCGGCCACGCTGCCTCAGCCGCTCTCAGCAGCGCC